AAATCTGGGTCAAACCCTGCTGTGTGACCTTGACTAAGTCACACTGCCTCTCTGCGTTGGTTTGCCCATCCATAAAATGAGAGTAACTAGGCCGAGCACAGTGGCTCACACCTATAATCCCAGCACTTTGGGAGGCCAAGGTGGGTGGATTACAAGGTCAGGAGTTAAAGACCAGCCTGGCCAACATAGTGAAATCCCGTCTCTACTAAAAACTACGAAAATGAGCCAGGCACGGTGGCAAATAGCTGGGATTACAGGCACCTGTCATCCCAGCTACTCAGGAGGCTGAGGCAGGAGAATCGCTTCAACCCGGGCAGCAGAGGTTGCAGTGAGCCGAGATTGTGCCACTGCACTCCAGTGTGTGCAACAGAGTGACACTCAGTCTCAAAAAAAAAAAAAAAAAAAATGAGAGTAACTAAACTTGGCCTTTAAGGGACTCGTGAGGGTTCAATAACCATGTGAGCTTCCTTTTCTTGGCTACCTTCTGGATGTCACAAGCTGTCCTAGGTCCTCATCTTGCACCTGAGATGAGGACCCTTAGCCCTGCCCCTGCCCAAGGGGGAATCCCTCTCATTATCTGTATATTCAGATGAGGCACTTAGTGATCCGAGAGGTGATAAGATTTGCCCAAGTTTACACCACTGGAAGTGGCAGGACCCGGCTCCTAACTAGCTGGTCTCCTGGGACATTGGGATTGGGACCCTGCTGGTCCCCGCCCTGACCAGAGAGCAGCTTCTCTCTCCTGGGGTACTGTCTCAGGCAGCAGAGATGCCCCAGGCTCTACAGCCACATTTGCCCATGCCCGAGTCCCGTTGCTCACCCTTGGGCCCCACCGCTGTCCCCGTAGCAGTGCTGGCTCCTGGCATCCTGGGCAGGCCATCACACCTCACACAGACCGTGGGGCCCTGGGTCAGACACCTTGTCCACTGGTCAGGAGGTGCCCTCAACTGCCTGCAACTCCCTGGAGTGGACTCCAACCGGAACTGGACACGGTACGTGCAGCGACAGAGGGAGATACCACCCCAAGTACCCATGAGCATTTATGAAGCACCGAGTGTGCGCCCAGCCCTGTCTTAGGCCCAGGTGGTACAATTTCTCCCTGATACAGAAACCTTGTATAACCCAATTGGCCTCAACAAGTTGCATACAGCAAGACTCGGCTCCTGCTTTTTAAGTTAACATTATGGAGGGTTTACCATACACCCTGTTCTAAGCACTTTATCCAAAAGACTGAATGTTTTATTTTTCCTGTCTTCCCCATTAGAACGCTGGCCCCACAATTTCAGGAATGTTCATCTGTTTTCTTTACTGTTAGGTCCAACTCCTAGAATTATATCCAGCTCAATTTTTCACGTTAAATAAATCTTTGGGACCAATGGAATATGGAACACCTGCAAGGTAGATGTTTCCCCTGGTTTACAGATTAGGAAACTGAAGATCAGAGGGGCAACTCGCCCAAAGTCACACAGCTAATCAGCAGTGGGACCAAAAATGGAACTATCTCTGCTGAAAATAAGCCTAAAGGGATACTCTTAAGCACTCCACTGCCTGCGTTTTTTCAAAAGATCCTATTTTATTAAAAAGATTTGCCTCCAAAAAAAGAAAAAAGAAAAAATCAAGGCCAGGCACGATGGCTCACTGCAGTGGCCTGTAATTCCAGCACTTTGGGAGGCCGAAGCTGGCAAATCACCTGAGGTCAGGAGTTCGACACCAACCTGGCCAACATGGAGAAACCCCGTCTCTACTAAAATTACAAAACTTCACCAGGCATGATGGCTCACACCTGTAGTCCCAGCTACTCAGGAGGCTGAGGCAGGAGAATTGCTTGAACCTGGGAGGCAGAGGTTACAGTGAGCTGAGATCATGCCACTGCACTCCAGTGTGTGCAACAGAGTGACACTCAGTCTCAAAAAAAAAAAAGAAAAAAAAAAGATTTTCAATAAGAATTATTTAAAAGAGAAGCTCCCCATTCAAGGGTATCTGAAATAAGACCCAGAATTTGCCAAAATTATACTTCTACCCAATGTTTTCTACAAGGAGCAGTAAATAGCACCCCCTGCTGGAGAAGATGCCACATGTCAAGGACTCGGGAATGACTCTGTGAAGCTGCTGTCCCCTGGTGGCCAGAGGGCCCCAAGGTTTTCTTCCAGGTGCAGCGCAAAGCCCGTCCCTAGTCCCTTCCTCTGATCTGCCCCTATTGCCCCTTGGGAATCTGTGTCCTACCAGATGCCTGTGATCACTGAAAATTGCGTCTTCCCCACACAATTTCTCTTCCCCACACAATTTCTCTTCCCCTTTTGGCAGTTTGTTTGAAAAATTCTTGACATCGCTCTATGGTCTTGGAGGGGTCATCACTCAGCCAGCCTGGCCGTGGCTCCCACAGCTGCCACTAAGGCAGACACATGATTAGAGTTGAGCGGCCAGAGTTCCCCATCTTCCTGGCCATGACGACTGGTTCAGGGATGGGCCGGGATCCAAGCAGTTCCAATCAGGGTCTCCTCCAGATATGATCCACAGAGACTTCCGAGAGGACACCTTTGGGGTTACTGAACTGGGAGGACGTGGGGCTGCTTATCCCCACAATGTCTCCAAGATGCTCATCTTCACCACCACAGGGAAAGAGCCTGCTTAAGAATAAAGCCAACCCATAGAGCAAGTGACAGAACGAGAGGGGACAAGAGCCAGCTCTGACAGCCTTACATGCACTCTTGGTGCCAGCCCAGCTTGAAGTAATGTCATTTCAGAACTTCCCTCCCAGTTATCTAAACCAATACTTCTCCTTTTCACTTGATGCGATCTGAGCTAAGTTTCTGTCACTTGCAATCCAAAGAATCCTATCTCTTTTAGTTCTCCTGTCCATCTCCATTGCCACTGACTTAGTTCAGACCTTATTCTTTCAACTGATATTTACTGAGTACCTATCATGTGCCAGGCGCTGTCCTGGAAGCTTGACCTCAGCTCTGCGATCCTGCAACACGCTGATCTGTCGCCAACCCACACAATCCATCCTTCACGAGGTACGCCAAAACCACCCTGGTCCAAATTATCTTCTTCCTTCGCCTGGACCGCTGCCCTTGCCACCTCATTGGTCTCCCGAGTTACCCCCCTGCTTCTCCTCTATCCATTCTCCAAGTAGGATCCAAAGGAATCCTACAAAGACCTAAGTCAGATTGTGTCACTCCTCTGCTAAAATCCCTACCATGGGCCAGATATGGTGGCTCATGCCGGTAATCCCAGCGCTTGGGGAGCCCAAGGCCTGCAGATCACCTGAGGTCAGGAGTTTGAGACCAGCCTGGCCAACATGGTGAAACCCCATCTCTACTAAAAATACAAAAATTAGTCAGGCATGGTGGCAGGCACCTATAATCCCAGCTACTTGGGAGGCTGAGGCAGGAGAATAGCTTGAACCCAGGAGGCAGAGGTTGCGGTGAGCTGAGACCATACCATTGCACTCCAGCCCGGGCAACAAGAGCGAAACTGCATCCAAAAAAAAAAAACCTACCATGACTCCCATAGCATGAGAGAAAATGCCCAACTCCTCCCCACGGCCTACAGGCCCCACGGGATCTACCTCCTGCCCCATGATCTTTCCAACCTCATTTCCTATTCTCTCCCTGCACTCCAACTACACCCGCCTTCTTGCTGATCCTTGAACACACTAGGCAGGTCCTGCCCCAGGACTTTTGCACTTGCTGTTTCCCTCTTCCAGGCACACTCTTCCCCCAAATCTCCTCCTCCAGTTCTTAGTTCAAATGTCATCTTCTCAGGGAGGATGTCCTTGGCACCCCCACCCCTTCCCTGCTTCATCTTCTCCACGGCACTTGGGCCCCAACATGTTATTTGTTTGTTTTTTGTCTCTCTCCCCCACTAGACTGTCCACTCAATGAGGATCAAGTATTTCTTTTTTATTCCCTGCCATAGCCCCAAGGCCTAGCACAGTACCTGTCACCAGTCAAAGTTGAATAAATGGATGAATGAATGAAGTTGAATGGAGACTAATTATTGAGGACTTAAAAATCAACGTTGGGCCAGGCACGGTGGCTTGCATCTGTAATCCCAGCACTTTGGGAGGCCAAAGTGGGTGGACGGGTGGATGACCTGAGATCGGGAGTTCGAGACCAGCCTGACCAACATGAAAAAACCCCATCTCTACCAAAAGTACAAAATTAGCCGGGCGTGGTGGCATGCCCCTGTAATCCCAGCTGCTTGGGAGGCTGAGGCAGGAGAATCACTTGAACCCAGGAAGCGGAAGTTGCAGTGAGCTGAGATTGTGCCATTGCACTCCAGCCTGGGCAACAAGAGTGAAACTCCATCTCAAAAACAAGAAATCCATGTTAATGAGCTTGCAGATGTAACAGGGTGACAAATGGGGAGATATAGATGTTATCAAAGTAGGTGAAAGTCATGATAAATGAAATTTAGGGCAGGGCGCAGTGGCTCACGCCTGTAATCCCAACACTTTGTGAGCCAGAGGCAGGCAGATCACCTGAGGTCAGGAGTTCAAAACCATCCTGGCCAACATGGAGAAACCCCACCTCTACTAAAAATACAAAAATTAGCTGGGTGTGGTGGCTCGTGCCTGTAACCCCTGCTATTCGGGAGGCTGAGGCATGGGAATGGCTTAAACCCGGGAGGCAGAGGTTGCAGTGAGCTGAGATCGCCCCACTGCACTCCAGCCTGGGTGACAGATCAAGACTCTATCTCCAAAACAAAAAAGAAAGAAAAGTGCCTCACGCCCGTAATTCCAACACTTTGGGAGGCCAATGCGGGTGGATCATGAGGTCAAGAGAACAAGACCATCCTGGCCAACATGGTAAAACCCCATCTCTACTAAAAATACAAAAAAATTAGCTGGGCGTGGTGGCACGCACCTGTGGTCCCACCTACTTGGGAGGCTGAGGCGAAGAATTGCTTGAACCCGGGAGGCGGAGGTTGCAGTGAGCCGAGATTGTGCCACTGCACTCCAGCCTGGTGACAGAGCAAGACTCTGTCTCAAAAAAAAAAAAAAAAGAAAAAGAATAAATTTAGTTCAAGGAAATATGTTCATAAATTTTAGTTTGACTTCAAGTTCATTGATTTTCACTTATCTGCTGTTGCCTGTTTCTTGGGAATATCTTGCTTTTCCTGCTCTTTCCCATAGCTGCCTCTGGTTATCAAAGTAGGGACTGTGGGTCAAGAAGAAAACAGAGTTAGGTAGGACGACATCCCAGGCTATGGCACCATAGGGACACCAAGCTCGGTACCTCTGGTATCCAAGTCACTTACAGGACAGCCCTAAGGAGACTCTAGGATCTTTAAACTGGGTAGATGATCCCTACCAGTGCCCTTTATAGTGCTGAAAGCAGGACCATAATTATCTCTGAGATTCCAGAGCCTGGTGTATAGTGGTTTCAAAAATTCTTTTTGAATGAATGCTTTGCTGAATGAATAAGTGAATGATTTTTTAATAGTTAGCCAGGAGCAGTGTCTCATGCCTGTAATCCAAGCACTTTGGGAGACCAAGGCAGGAGGATTGCTAGAGCCCAGAAATTTGAGACCAGCCTGAGCAACATGGTGAAACCTTATCCTTCAAAAATTAGCCAAATGTGATGGTGTGCACCTGTAGTCTCAGCTACTTGGGAGGCTGAGAGGGGATGATCACCTGAGCCCAGGAGATCAAGGCTGCAGGGAGCCATGATTGCGCCACTTCACTCCAGCCTGGGCAACAGAGCAAGACCTTGTCCCTGCCCCACCCCCACCCCCAAAAAAAGATAGGCAAGGCTCAGTGGCTCACGCCTGTAATCCCAGCACTTTGGGAAGCCAAGGCAGGCAAATCACCTGAGGTCAGGAGTTCAAGACCAGCCTGACCAACACGGAGAAACCCCTTTTCTATTAAAAATACAAAATTAGCCAGGCATGGTGGTACATGCCTGTAATCCCAGCTACTTGAGAGGCTGAGGCAGAATTGCCTGAACCCAGGAGGTGGAGGTTGCGGTGAGCCAAGATTGCGCCATTGCACTCCAGCCTGGGCAACAAGAGTGAAACTCCATCTCAAAAAAAAAAATAAAGATAAAAGATAAAAGAATCAATAACTATCAGCACCATAGGAAAGGCAAAAAATTAATTTAAAAAGAAGAAAATAAAATTTTTAAAGTCAAGGACTGAATGAATAAATGGATGGATAGCTGAAATGATGGAAGAAAGAAAGAATGGATTATAAAAGGTAGATAAGTGGGAAGATGGGAGGATGGAAGAAAGGAGAGCGAGAGATGAGTAGAAGAATGGATGGGTGAAAGAGAGGGTGAATGGAAAGGATGGATGGAGAGTTGACGGTGAATGGATAGGTGAATGAATAAAGAGATGGACGGATAGATGGATGGCTGGATGGATGGGAAGATAGAAAAATGGAAGAAGGGATGTGAAGAGAGATGAGTGGAAATGGCTAGATGGATGAGTAGATGCATAGGCGGATGGATGGATGGGAGAACAGATGAATGAGTGAATGGAACAATGGAAAGATGGGAGAAAGGAGGTATGGGGGTGGATTGATGGATAGATGAATGAATAAAATTATTTTACTGGGCCAGCTTCCAAGTTTCTTCCTTTCTAGTTCAGAGGAGAACACAGAAGAGGATAAGTGATAATCAATTCACAAGCGGTTGGTGATTCCTTAGGAATCCCTAACACACAGCCTCCCTTCCCTCTTCCAACAGCTGTAGTGGTACTTTCGGTGTCACCTAGAGCAGTAAGGAGAGCCGCAGCTAAGCCCAGGTTCTAGTCCCAGGTCCCCTTGTTATAGCTGAGTGACCTTGATCAAGTTTCTGCACCTCTTTGAGCCTCATTTTCCTTATCAGCAAAATGCAGGTAATATTAGTACCTACATCCTGGGGTGATTGTCAGAATGCAACATAACATTGGTCCAGGGTCTGGCACAAGGCAGGTGCTCAGCGAGTGTTTCTTCCCTTTGTAATTTGCTTGACATTGTTAGCTACTGTGATTCAGCTATTACTCATGCTGTTGTGAAGGGACAAGCACTCAGATACAGAGGTGAGATGTTTTGAAAGCAGGTTCAAGGGATCAGTCATAAAGATCAGAGCCTCCTGGCTGGAATAGCGAGCAAGGAAAATAATTCAGCTGCTGTTTATTGAGCACTTATGAGCCAGGTGCTCATCATATATCAACTTATTACATTCTGACAGCACTTTGGGAGGCCAAGGCAGAAGGATCACCTGAGGTCAGGAGTTTGAGATCACACTGGCCAACATGGTGAAACCCCCGTCTCTACTAAAAATACAAAAATTAGCTGGGTGTGGTGGTGCATGCCTGTAATCCCAGCTCCCCGGGAGGCTGAGCCAGGAGAATTGCTTGAATCCAGGAGGCAGAAGTTGCAGTGAGCCAAGATCACACCGTTGCACTCCAGCCTGGGCAACAAGCAAGACCCTGTCTCAAAAAAAAGAACAATACAACAAAAGATTGTAGGTAGGTGATCAGGATGGGAGGACCTGGTTCTCTAGTCAATAGCCATGTGACTTGGACAAGCTTTGTAGCCTCCTTGAGCCTCAGTTTCCCTGTCTGTAAGAAGAGAATAGTAACACTGACCTCACAGAGTCAGGTCATGTGGTGAGGTACTTGGCACATATTAGCAAGTCAGGGTGATCTTCCCAATCTTCCTGGGGGAAACTGACATCTTTACAGTAAGTGATGATCCAGGAATGGCTGGATGGGGGTGGCAGGGAGTAGGGAGGAACATTTCAAGCCTAGGAAATGATATTCCCACTTTTCATCACCCCACTGCCACCTCCCTAGTTCAGCCACCACAATCTCTTGCCTGAACCATTGCAGCCATCTCTTCCCTGGGGTCCCTGATTCCCTCTGACCCCTTTCAGTCTGCTGTCCACATATCAGTCAGAATGGCCCTTTGATTGATTGGTTGGTTAGTTGATTGATTTTTAGAGACAATTTCTCGTCTCGTAGTGCAATCATAGTTCATTAAACCTCAAACATCTGGCCTCAAGTGATCCTCCAGCCTCAGCTTCCCAAGTAGCTGGGACTACAGGTGTGCTCACCACCACACCCAGCCTGATCCTTTAAAACACAGGCAGAATGAGCAGGGGAACCAGGTCTCAGAAGGCAACAGCCAGCACACGTGGAATCTATATGCCCCATGAGGAGTTTGGGTTTCAGCCAGAGGACAATGGGCAGCTACTGAAGAACTTAAAACAGGAGAGTGACGGCATGGTGGGATCTGTGTTTCAGAACAGTCTTCCCTCCCCACCAGGCTGAAGCATGGGAAGAGATTGGAAAAGGATATTCTAGTCCTACTGCTTGTCTTCTACCCCTTAGGAAAATCACTTTCATTCTCTTGGTCAATGTCTTCAGCTATAAAATGGGCATCACTGGCCAGGTGTAGGGGTTCATGCCTGTAATCCCAGCACTTTGGAAGGCCGAGGCGGGTGGATCACAAAGTCAGGAGATGGAGACCATCCTGGCTAACACAGTGAAACCCCGTCTCTACTAAAAATACAAAAAATTAGCCAGGCGTGGTAGTACACGCCACACACCTGTAGTCCCAGCTACTCGGGAGGCTGAGGCAGGAGAATCTCTTGAACCTGGGAGGCAGAGGTTGCAGTGAGCCAAGGTCATGCCAGCACATTCCAGCCTGGGTAACAGAGCAAGATTCTTTCTCAAAAATAAATAAATATTTTTAAAATAAAATAAAATGGGCATCACCACTTTTTGTGGCGATAAAAATGGCAGCCTATTTTTTGTAGCGACCTTGATCAGGGTGAGCAATGCAGCAGGCATCTGTTGTTTTCCCTGCCAGGCAGCCATTCTCCACAATTGTCCTGTAAGAACACCCCTTCTCTACTCTCATTCAGGTGGGGGTGAGTCCCCTTTGCAGCTTCAAAGGGAGCACTTTATCCATGAGACTCTATTCTAGGATATTTGCTGGAACTATGGGGAAAGGGGTCTTCTCTTCAGCTGTTAGGCTGGTTGGAGGGAAGCCTGAAGCTGTCAAAGGCCATTAGAGGGAAAAGCCTGCCTGAGAATGAGGCCAACTGAGAGGAAAACAGAGCTAAGATATGGAGAGAGATTCCTGGCAACATTGTTTGAGCTCCTGGATCCAGCCATGCCTGAATGCAGTCCTTGGAATCTTAGTTACAGGAGCCACCCATGTTTGCTCAGTTCAGATTAAGTTGGGTCTCCTGTCACCTGCATCCAAAGTCCTGACAGATTCACACAGGAAGAGGAGCAGAAAGAAGACTGAGAAGCCTGGTGGAGGTCAGAGCTTCTGAACTCATTCACAAAAAGAGAAGGGGGATCAGGGCAAAGGCAGGCAAAGCCCCACCCCAAACTCAGACCCCACCCAGGAACTCATGGAGGGCCCTGCCGTCCAGCCTGACTGTTCCCACTGAAAGCCACCCCTGGGCCCCACCCCCACTCACTCAAGGACTGCTGGCACTCCACTCCCTGGTGGCTCCAGTACTCCACACAGCCCACCTGCTCTTCCAGCGGGGGGCAGGGGACACCCCCATTCCTCAGCTCCTGCAGGACACGCCTCCGGCATACATGGTAGGAGGCCTGGCAGGGCTTCACACAGCGACTCCAGCCACTCCACTCTGACACAGCGCAGGAGACCGCTGGAAGAGAAAGTGGTGTCTTCAGGCGAGACCTCTGTGGGGTTTAGCTGGCCAGCATCCAGGTCTTCTCCACCTTCCCCACAAGCTGAATCCCCAAAACACCACACCCAGTGCTAGAACTCTTGCAAACCTGAGTCCATGCCTTCCTTGAAAGTTTCCCTATGACAGCTGTTCATATGTCCACCTAAACTTAGAATTCCACATTGATCCAATCATCCTATTGATGATCACTTAGGTCGCCTCCATCACTCATTCCTTCAATAAACATTTCCTAAGCACTTAGGGCAACTGATGCCTCAATTTCTTCTTTTGTCAAATGGGAATAAGAATAGTAGCTAACTGATTGGGAAGGGGCCTTAAAGGTTCAACCAAATACGAAATACAAAGCATTTGTTCCTGGAACATAGCAGCTGCTTAATAAACACTATTCCTCTGCAGCAGTGGAAATGAACCTACACTGTCGACACGAAAGCTACTCGAAAGCTACACTGTCGACAACCTGGAGAGGAAATAAATTACTTGTAAAAGGATTCACCTGTCTAATGTGATGCTTTTTATATACAGTCTTGTTTGTTTGTTTGTGATGGTGTCTGGCTCTGTTGCCCAGGCTGGAGTACAGTGGTGCGATCTTGGCTCACTGCAACTTCTGCCTCCCGGGTTCAAACAATTCTCCTGCCTCAGTCCCCTGAATAGCTGGGATTACAGGCACCCACCACCAAGCTTGGCTAATTCATTGTATTTTTATCAGAAACAGGGTTTCTCCATACTAGCCAGGCTGGTTTCAAACTCCTGACCTCAAGTGATCCACCCACCTCAGCCCCTCAAAGTGCTGGGATTACAGGTGTGAGCACCGCACCCAGCGTATACACAGTTTTTAAACCTGCAAAAGGGTACTATAAAGTATCTAGGCATTCATTACAGGTATAGTAAATACATACATATGCAGCCAGGCCTCATTATTCACAGATTCTGTATTTGCTATTTCGCTTGTTAAAATTATTATTATTATTATTTTTTGTGGACACGCTGTTTTTCATTAGTTTATTACAAAACTACAGACACAATATACAACATTCTAACTCCTAAATCCTCCTGCCTTTTTTTTTTTTTTTTTTTCCTGAGACTAAACGCCCTCAAAGCCCCCCCTGTCTGCTTGGCCCATAATACAACCCGACTCCTCGGCTCCTGGATGCACAGGTCAGAGGTTCCAACAAGTCTGACCATGGTCAGTGCTGTGGAGCCACTCCCAAGGTGGCTGAGCCTTCTGCGAAAATTTAAATTGCTGCTAAGTCATTCTAAATAAATAGTGAATGGACTGTTTCTGCCCCTAAGATGAAATCCCACACATCTTATGCTCAAGCTCAGGCACCTAGAAAGTATGGTGGAATCTTCACTGACTTGTTAACCCTGGGAGTGCCCCTTGTGATCCAGATGAGTCAAAACAAACGGCCAGGATCTCTTCTACAAAGCCCATGATGGCCCTTCTGGCTGTGTCTCCAGTTGGTGCCTGGACACTGCCCATGCACTTCAGGGCCATTCTGACCATTTGGTCTCTTTGCTGGGGGCTGTGGGGTGCTCCAGTGTCATCTCCCTCTGCTCCTTATTTTAGAAACTGTAGGATATAGGACTGGAGCATATTCCCATTCAGTTCAAGGGTTTCTCTGATACAAAGCAAGACTGAGGCACTGGCCAAGCTCCGGAAGTAAATGAGTGCCTGGCAGATTTGGGTCTGTAGGCTAGCACAGTACCTGAATTCCAAAAAGGCTGTGGTGTCTTCGCTCTTCTGTAAGCCAGTGACCAATGCGTTCCAGATCCTATCCGAGCATACTGGTCAACAGACCCATACTGCTCTCTCCTGCCCGGGATGGCAAGGGCAGTGGCAGATCTGATGCGCACTTTGAAGTCCTTGCATGATGTCACAACTGATGTCAGGGCGCTGTAGGCCTGGGAGGTCCATGGGGCTGTCCTTTCTTGTCATCTGAATGTCTCCTCCCGACACTAAAGCATGAGGTCCACAAGGTCTATGGTTTTGTCCATTTTGTTCACTGCCATTTTCTCCAGAGCTGAGAACAGTGCCCAGTCCCTAGTGGGTGCTAATTAAACATCTTTAATGGACTTGACATCTGAGGTCTTCTCTTGTTCTTTGCCTTTCACTTTCCGCCGGAAGAAGGACGTGGCGGGGCCCCCGGGTCGGGGCGGAGGGTGCAGGGGGAACTGGAGCGGGGAGGTCCCGGCTCCCCTCATGCAGCAACCTGCCCGGACTTCCGGGTCCACAGGCGCCGCCGCACTAGCGCGAAAAGAGACCCTTCTTCCGGAAGTTGGCCCCACCGCCTCCTCGGGATGCCCAGGCAGCTCCAGCCGCCATATTATCAACAAGCCCTGTTAAAATTATTTTTAACCCTAAAATCAATACTTGCAGCACATTTGTAGTTACTCACAGACAAGCAGAGATTAGTGAAAAATGTGAGTCTCTCAATGTGCACATTCCAAGCTGAAGTCAAACAGGGCCCCACTCTGTCTTCTTGTTCCAGTCTCATAAGGCCATTACCAGTGGACAGAGACAGTCGGGGCAAGTCTCTGCAGTGCAAGCAGCTCCAGCGCTGGGCCAGTTGGCTGGGGTTTGAATCCCAACTCCAGCACTTGTTAATGGGGCACTTTGGGAGTCCTTTAACACTTCCTAACACTCTCTTGTAAAATGAAGAAAATGGAATTGACCAGGATGAGTTGTTTTTAGGATCTAAAGCATAACCTGGCCAGTGTGGTGGCTCATGCCTGCAATCCCAACACTTTGGAAGGCCAAGGTGGGTGGATCACGAGCTCAGGAGTTCAAGACCGGCCGGGGCAACATGGTGAAACCCCATCTCTACTAAAAATACAAAATTTAGCTGGACATGGCGTGCGTCTGCAATCCCAGCTACTCAGGAGGCTAAGGCAGGAGAAAAGTTTGAACCCAGGAGTCAGTGGTTGCAGTGAGCCGAGATTGTGCCATTGCACTCTAGCCTGGGTGGCCGGACGAGACTCAATCTCAAAAAAAAAAAAAAAAGTATAATCTATGTGAGATATGTGTGTACATATTTCTCATAGAGGCCATTGGTTAATTCAGTATTCATGGCAACTTTACAGAAAATAACTACTGTGAATCACAAGAATGTCCTGTAGCCAGGCGCCATCACTCACACCTGTAATCCCAGCACTTTCGGAGGCTGAGGCAGAAGGATCACTTGAGCCCAGGAGTTTGAGACCATCCTGGACAACATAGTGAAATCCCATCTCTACCAAAAAAGAAAAATGCAAAAACTAGCCAGGCATGGTGGTGCACGCCTGTAGTCCCAGCTACTAGGGAGACTGAGGCAGAAGGATCGATTGAGCCTGGGAGATAGAGGTTGCAGTGAGCCAAGATCACGCCACTGCACTCCAGCCTGGGTGATAGACTGAGACTCTGTGTCAAAAAAGAATGTACTGTGTATATTTATGTACATAAACACACACACACATCCATATATGCATGCGAAGTCTAAATGTCAAATTCAGCATTGTGGTTATCTCTGGGGAGAGTGAGAAAGAAGGTGACCGCGGGAGGGAAACAGGCACTCCAGTGGCAATTGTCAAGGTTCGTTTCTTAGCTTTTCTCAAGGGTTTGTTGTATTGTCTCTCTACACTGGTATATGTCTGAAATATTTCATCATCACAAAAGGAAGATGCTGGGGTCCCCATCCTTGGGGTGCTCCACGTGTCTACCACAGGCGGTATTTTCTGATGTGACCCCTGGGAGCGCCACTTCTTCATTTCAAGTCAGGACTGGAGGAAATCAGACAGGGAAAGGCGGTCTGGCAGAAGCGGAATCTGGGCACCTCCCCAGTGAGATGAGAGACTTTCTACGGATGTGCCAGCAAGTTTTGTCAGCGGCAGTGGCACACACACATTCCCTGCACATGCAAGGCGGCTACCACTGTCAGAATTAATTCATTCATTCCCCAAACATTTACCGAGCATCTGCAGAGCCCAGCACTGTCTTGGGTGCTGGAGACACAGCGTTTAATAAGAAAGATGAGTTCTGTCTCCTGGAAAAGCACTCCCAGCTATGAGGCATGTCCTAGTTCAGCAATGTGAAAATGAGAAGGGGGAAAAAACCGTGTGCATCGCTGACGAAGGAACAGCGTTATTGTGCTGAAGTCAAGCAGCAGGGCCTCTGGCAAGTCAGGAAGGCAGGTATTCTTTGCATAAATCTCAGAGGTTTAAATTTTTTTTCTTGGCGCAAACAGTCCTTCAATCTGCCCATCTTAGCAGAATTGAAATGCTCAGAGGGAAGGAAGGAAAAAGGAAGGAAGGTAAACAAGAGAAGAAAGGAAACAGAAAGAGGGAGGGCAGGAAGGAGGAGGGAGGAAGAAATCCAGTGTGTGAAAACCTAAGAATGATTAATTGCTTTCATCGTCCATCTAATAACCCCATTCATTGTGCTTTGGGTGCTAAACCAAGCAAGTCACATACATGACTTCATTTAATTCACACAACAGTCTTCTGAAGCTCTGCACTCCCTATTTGTACTCAGCCTTCAGCAAGCCTGTGCATCTCCCAGCCTCTCCATGGCTGCCAGTAGCATTGAACCAGTAAAGAACACCAGCAGGGATGAGAAGGACAGAGGGCAGGAGGAGATGCAGCAAGCTGTTTATTGTCCCCCATTTTGGGGAAGGGGACCCTCGGCTGTGGATCCTGCTCTCACTGGCTCCATTACACCATTTCCTCCTGTGCTATACTGCTGCCCCCACCTCTGTGAATAGAGCCCTTGTTTTCCATGATGCCCTTCTGCGGGTACCATCAGTCACTTGCCAGGAGCTCAACTCCTAATGTGTTTGCGCTATTGTCAAACCCAGCTCAGGGATGAGCCCACTGGGGCTTAAGAGGCAGAATCCTAGCCGGGCGCGGTGGCTCAAGCCTGTAATCCCAGCGCTTTGGGAGGCTGAGGCGGGTGGATCATGAGGTCAAGAGATCGAGACCATCCC